AAGTGTTAAAGAGCAAAGATGTCAGTGTGAGGACTAAGCTGAGTCTGACCCAAGCCATGGTATTTTGAATTTCCTTATATGTGTGTGAAAGTTGGACAGTGAATCAAGAAGACTGGAAGAGTAGATGGCAAAGAATATTGAAAGTACCATGAACTACCAGAAGCACAAACAAATCTGAGTTGTAAGTACAGCCAGGATGCTCCTTAGAAGCCAAAATAGCAAGACTCATCTTTGGACATATTATCAGGAGGGGCCAGTGCTTGGAGAGGAGCATCATGCTTGGAAAAGTGAGGAGGACTCCTAACAAGATGGATTGAATGCAGTGGCAGCAAACTATGGGCTCAAACATAACGATGATTGTGAGATTGGCTAAGGACTGGGCATTGTTTCGTTCTGTTGTGCATATGAGCCAGAACCAACTCGACAGCACCTAATAACAACAACATGTTCTTCTTCTATTCTTCTTTTGGACCCTGGTTGCATAGTGGTTTCATGCTCAGCTGCTAGCCCAGAAGTCAACAGTTGAACCCCAGCAGCTGCACTACTGGAGAAAGATATGGCAATCTGCTTTAGCCTTGAAAAACCGATGGAGCAATTGTGCTCTGTCTATAGGGTTGCTCAGTTGGGATTGATTGAACTGTAGGGGGTGCGGTATGTTTTTCTGCTCTTCTTAATTGATTTAAGCTTCTTGAGGCAAAAGTTATTTATGTCTTACTCATCTTGAAACATCATCAGGGACTAGCAGAAAGTAGGTGCTCAACAAATGCTTGTCATCTTCCTATGGAAAGTCAGTCATTTCTTTGAGTCATAAATCCCAAGAAGTATTTGTGGAATATCCAGCTGTGTTTATAAAATGTGAAACATTACTGTAAAGGAGAATCAATCAGGCAGTGATGGTCTATTTAGCTGACAGGTGTTCACAAAGATTCATGGTTAGAGATCTCAATTTGAAGATGTGTGTCTTACTGTTGCTATAACAGCAGTACCACAAGTGGATGTCTTTGTTTTTAAATTTTTTTCTTGCGAATTGAGTGAAGGTTTACAGACAAGGTCTTCAGCTTTACATTCAATGAATTATACACTTTGTTTCTTCTCAATGATTAAATACCTGCCACCCTCCAGGCAACAATAGTTATCCTATATCCTCCCTGTGGCTCCCCATTTACATCTTACATTTCACAAATGAACACAGTAAAAATATTTGTACATATACAAAACAAAAAATATATACTTTTAAAAATGTTCAAAGGGTACATTCTGCAAGCCAGCCTCCTGGCCACAGGCACACAGCCTTACTTAGTCCAGTCCATGGGCCTAGAGCCTGCAGCTGCTCTGCCACCATCTCTGCTTTTGCCACTTTTCTAGGTAGGGATCTCATGCTTCACTCATGCTCTTCTTCTGGATGGCCCTGGGATCCTCCGTTCCTGAACTGAAAGATAAACTACTTCCCCTTTTAGTTCACATCGTCTACATATAACAGTTGTGACAATCACAATGAGTCCTGCTAGCAGTTGATCACAGTTGAACCATAAAACCCTGTCACCATCATCCTCCACACCATTTCACCAGATAGATCTGGAAAAGAGGGATACTGTTAATTGGGAATTGTACCTTACCCACATCATTCTGAAACAAGTGGATGTTTTTTAAAGAACAGAAATTTATTTTTTCACAGTGTTGTTGTTTTTAGTTGCATCAAGTTGATTAGAATTCATGGTAACCCCCAAGTGTGCAGAGTAGAGCTACATTCCATAAGGTTTTAAAGGCTGTGACCTTTCAGAAGTAGATCACCCGGCCTTACTACCAGGGTGCCTCTGAGTGGTTTTGAACCCCTAGCCTTGCAATTAAGAAGACCAGTGTTTAATCATTTGCACAGTCCCCCATCCCCTGCCTTTAGGGACACCACCTTTTCACAGTTTGTTGTTAAGTGCCTTTGAGTTGGTTCAGATTCATAGCAACTCTGTGTAGGGATTCCAAGGAGCAGCTGGTGGGTTTGAACCACTGACCTTGCAGTTAGCATTCGATTGCTTTTCCTACAGTGCTATACCGGAACTCCTCTATCTGGTATGCTGTTATTGTTCAGTGCCATCTAGTCAGTTCTGACTCACAGTGACACTGTATAGGGTTTCTGAGGAGCACCTGTAGGTTTGAACTGCTGGCCTTGTGGTTCACAGTCCCTTGCTGATCCTACAGCGCCACACCAGGAGTATGTGAAATTATATGTAGAACCCTCACCTGCATTTGATTACTTGAGACTTTCATTATCTACTAACTGTGCATCCCGGACTATCTTAAATTAGCTTTATGAGAAATTCATAGAAAAAAAGTATAAGTTCTGTTCTTAACTAGCAGTATTATTAATGTGTTGTGTTTTCTGTTTGTTTTGCCCTTACATTACAAGTTAAATCTTAAATTAGATGCATTGAGAAAGAATTTATTTAAACTGCTATCTGCACTGATTTTATTAAGATAAAAATTAACCACTGAGCCATTGGACTGGTTCTGTGTAATCAATCAAACATAAGAAGGTCTAACTATACATCTGAGTTTCTAATTCTGTGGAGTCTGGTGTGGCACTGTGGGTTAATGCGCTGGACTGCAAGGTCAGTTTGTACCGTGAGGTCAGTGGTTCAAGCTCACCACTGCTCCTCGGAAACCCTATACAGGGTCACTATGAGTTGGAACCGATTCTACAGCACTTAACAACAACAACAGTTTTGTTGACAACTGTACTCAGGAGTTGGGTTCTTACTCCCAAATATAAAAGAAATATTCTTCTGTCAGTGCCTTTTTACATTAGGAATTATTTATATCCATTTCTGGGCTAACGGTTGCACCTGCCAATATCTATGGGTTTTCAATAGTATATGCTTATTCACCTGAAATACACAGGTAATTCTAAATCACTTACTCTTTTGTGGAAGAATCCAAAATTTAAACCTCATAAACAATGACTGGCTAGACTACATGCTGTGTGAAGCTGAGTAGCAATCATATTAGAGTGAAGAGAAAATACTTCAGTAATAGTTCAGACACTGAAAATACAAAGAATGTCTTTTTCCTTAAGTTTTGTGATGGGAGGAAAATGTTCTTGCTGAAAACTTGTCAGGGAAATTTAAGACTCTCTATCATTTTACCCTGCTTCAAAAAAGAAGTAAAAATCAGTCTTTCTGATTTAGACAAAGACAATAAATGCACAAGCCTTATTTGAAAGATCATCTCCTTATAAAGATCCTGTTGCAATATTGTTATTTAAAATGAACTAAAAAGTCTTCTGTATTACATCTGAAGTCTGTAGTTGAAATGTGTCTGCATATTAGATACATTCTTAAGAGTTTTCAAAGAACCTGTAAAAACATTAAAAAGATACACTTCTTAAAGAAGACACTTCTTGGTGCAACTCTTGGTCTCTTCAAGAAAGAAGAGTGATAAGAATGGAAGGTGCTTGGAATCAATTAGTCCAGTGGACTAATTAATGAAACATTGATCATCAGTGTCCACAACTCTGCGACCAGAATAGCTAGATGGTACCTGGCTACTACTAACTGCTCTGAAAGAGATCTCATTAGAAGGTCCCAGATGGAGTGGCAGAAAATGTAGAACAAAATTCAAAATGAAAACAAAAGACCAGGCTTCCTGATTAGAAAGAGACTGGAGGAACCCAAGACCATGGCCCTCGACCACCCTGAAGATCTTGAAAGGAAATTACCCTTGTGGCCCAGTTTTCAACCAAGCAGGAGATAGGTCTCCTCACCTAGGAGTGGTCAATCATTCAAAATCAAAAGGGCAACATTCACGTAAGTACAAAGTTGAGATGGGATGGGAAGCTGGGTGGGATGGAAACAGGAAGCACAGGGAAGAAGCGGGATAACTGTTGTTGCATGGAAGGCATTACAGTCACTGAGATGAAACAAAGTGTATGATTTGTTGCATGTAAATTGATGCTCTTGTCTGTAAACCATCCCTCAATTCACAACAAAAGTTAAAAAAAAAAAAGGCACTTCTTGCTTTACATTTCTAACTGCTGCCAATAAGCATTAAAGAAGAAAATAATGAGCCAAGTGTGTCAGGGAGCCCCAAGACCATCCACAAGTTTGATGAGTTGCAAGGACTTTCAGAGCTTAACATATGAGAACAAATCAAAATCTATTGCTACAAAATTCATAGAAACTTTTCTGAAACATAAGTATCAAAATGTGAAGCTATTGTTTCTTGACAGAGCCTCCATCTAAGTCTATACATTTCAGAAGGCAGTGTTTCTAGTCCTTCTGTGGCAAAAAGACGCATGTTGCAAAGTCCAGAAGAAACCAAGCACAAGCTTCTAACCCTGACCTCAAGCTGTAATAAAATCTGTGAAAGAAGAACATCAATTATTATAATTCAAGGCAAATTAAAGAGAAATAAAACGGGCCACACACATCTACTATCAATCTGTTCTAGTTGCTTCCCTTTGGAAATCATTAACAAGTTATCTTTTGTAAGCCCGAAACAACCAAAAAACCTGTAACAACTATTAAAGAAAGAACAGTGTTCAGTTACTAGGCAACATTCTGATTACATGGTAAGGTCTCTCTTTAAGAGCTTCAAGACCAATCTAAGTGCAGATGCTGTCCTGCTAAAGGAGGAGAAGGAAAATTTAAATGTCTTGGCATATTTTTCCAAGCTTGACATAACATTTTCCTGAAGATGCCACTTCATGCCCTGCAAATGATGAAAGAGTATGTTTTGCATGATTCCTGGAAACATTTGAAAAATACTGGTCTTGCTGCTTCCCTTCCTTGTTCTTCCTGGTGCAGGCTCTTCTCGCTTGTTCATCTATTTCACAGCCAAGGATCAATGGAAGACCATGTCCTAGTGAATTTTCCTTTCGTTCCTTTGAATTTGAGTTTCTGTTAAGAAACTAACTTTTGTCTTAATGTTATTGGAATGTTTCTGTTGCCTAAATTGGCTTTTTATTTCTGCACTTACATCATGGATGATTATATTTCATTCTTTTACAGGAATTTTAAACAGTTGTCAAGTGAAATGGAATTTATGACAATTAATGGAAAAACATTAAGGAATCTGGAAATCCTACAGAACCAGGTCAGGCAAACATAAGTGCTGGTTGATTCAATGTGGTTTTGAAAATAACGGAATAATGTAGCAGTTTGTTCTTAAGAATATTGGTGAAAATAGCAGTGAATTACATACACTGATATTCTTATTTGGGGTTTTTTTGGAAGCTCTTTTCTTAATGATTGAAGGACGTGACCATTTGACAATTTCTCAGTAAGGACTAGCTCATTGGGCTCTGATTTTAGGTGCTCTAGGAGTCCTGGTGTGGTGGTGTTGTAGGATAAGAACTTCACGGACAAACAACTAGGTTTTAAATACATATTTCTTTGAAAGGACATCATTTTTGAGAATTACAATGGAAAGGATTATTTTGACTGATTATATTTTCTGTTTATACCTTTAACTTTTTGCTGAAATGTCTGTGGTCATATTTCATTATCCAGCTTATAAAACAAGTGATTGTGATGTACAATTAATTTATGACTGTGAAATGCATAATATTTCACTTCACAAACTTTTATCGTAGTTTATCTGTTTTTTATTAGTGAGTTTGGAAGATCCTAGAAACATGAAGAATTATTGCTTTTGTTTATGAAATGATCACTTGGAAATATTTACAATTATATTCCAAAACTAATGTTCTTGTAACATTCAGCCATAGGAATTAAAAGCAATTACAAGTCGTTTGATTAATCATTTGAGCTACAGCAAATGATTTAAAGCTCTTCAGATATATTTATTACTTTGGTGAATTAAAGTAAATTATGACTTTATTCTCTAATTCCTGGATCTGTATATTATCAACTGACTTTCCTCACTTAGTCTCTCCCTTTTCTAATCCATCTTTGTGCACTTGAGTTACACTTAATTTTTGTCCAGTTATGAGTTTGTTCTATCATTCCATTACCCAGCAGCAGAGCATCTTTCATGCAGATTTCTCTCATCAAGTCTGTGTACAAACCTGCGATAGGAAACAAGTAGTTGAAATAAAAGGACATTTTTTGGATGAAGAAGTGCTCACAGTCAGAACTTACAGATACAGCCTTGGCCTTGCAGGCTTTTCTTCTGCCATATCATTCGTAACCCAATCCTACTGCGGCCGGCTCAGTGCTGAAATGAAATGACTAAGGCAAAATCATCTGTAGTCCATATACTGTATGAAATCCCTTACATCTTCAGTATTTGAGTCTTTGTAGAAACCAGGACTTTGAATGGATTCATTCTGGTTTGACTGCATGCTTTGAATATGTGTTTCCACCCCAGAAATACTGAATCAGATTTATGTTTTAACAGAATCCTTAGGTGATGCTTAGAGATCCCGAGGTGATTCATATGTATAAGGAAGATAGTGTTAAACTGTAGATTCTGATCCAGTATGTCTGGGGTGGAAAGGTGAATTCTCAGCAGTGGGTCAAACCAGAATGAAGTGGTTTGAAGCCCTGGTAGAAACATATCCTTGGAGTTACCATAACTGGTTTGCCTTTATACTTTGATCTTTGGCCTCCCATTCCAAGGAGCAATGAAAAGATGTGATGTGGAGAGGGCTGGGTACCAGGGATATCTGGACATGGGATGTGTCTGACTGAGAACATAAGTTATTCAGTATGTTTCCCACTTCTCTTGTTTGAGTCTGCTTCTTGAATGATGTCAGGTAGTTGGAAAATGACTCCCCTCCACTAGCTTCCTTACCTTGGAGCCCTGGTGGCACAGTGATCAAGCACTCAAGTGCTAAACAATCGGTTGGCAGTTCAAACCTGCTACCCACTCCGTGGGAGAAAGGTGTGACTTTCTGCATCCATAAAGATTTACAGCCTTGAGAACCCATGGTCTCTTCTGCCATGTATGGTTGCTATGAGTTGGAATCGACTAGATGCTAATGGGTTTGTTTTGATCCTTATCACAGGACCTTTTCTTCTAGACAGGCAGTTACTCTTTTCCTAACACATGTGGTGCCATTGTAGATAGTTAGCTGCATCTGTTGGTTCTTCCTGGCCATCCTTGGATGGGCCACTACGATTACTGTCGCTTTGAGCTCTTAGCCCTGGGGAGTTTGTCACATCTTTGATAGGTGGTTCTTGCCAGCTGGTGGTTTGTCCTCAGTAAGAGTCCTTTCTCCCAAACCTACTTGTAAGTCCACCAAGGGCAGGCATTTTGTTTTAACATATCTTTGGCCATCCCAGTACTGAACACATAGGAGATTTTCTGTACGTCTCTCCTCATTAGTTTGAAGAAAAGGGAAAAATATAAAACAAAACAAAAACCTCAACTTGCATAGAAACTGTTGGTTTTTTTTTTGTTTCAAAATAATGATTTAAGTATATCAATAGACTTTTTGTAACATAAGGAAAGTTTGGTTAACATTAACTATAATTTTTATTGTAAATTGTTTTGCAGCTCAGCTTGTAAGCATTGGTAAGTAAAACTTTTGCTAGGGATTTACTAAAACAGACTAAAATGAAACACTTGACTTCTACCACAGATTCCTTGAGGGCAATAAGGTTCACCTTTATCTCCAGTACTTTCTCCTTGTTCAGTGTTATTGGGAGAACGTTGGTCTTTAACATGCGAGCTCTGAAGTGGAAGCCTGGACTTGCCAAAGGAAAATGAAATGATCTTCACCACTGTACTTCTCAGCATGAGGAGTGAACTTCAACTACATATTTTTAAAATGCATAGAACATGCATCCACCACTTGTCTGTCACTTTGTTGTACTGTGGTGAGTGACATATTTCTGGGATGCTGGAAGTTATGCTACCAGTGTTTGAAATACCAACAAGTTGACCCATGGTGGCCAGCTTTCAGCAGAGCTTCCAGACTAAAACTAAGGAAAAAGGAGAAGCAGACTACTTCTGAATGTTTAGACACTGAAACCTGATGAATAACAGTAGAACAGTGTCAGCTAGAGTGCTGGAAGATGAGCCCCTGAGTTTGGAAGGCGTTCAAAACTGGGGAAGAGCTATCATTTCAAAGTAGAGTTGATTGTGATGAGGTGAATGGAGTAAAGCTTTCGGGGCCTTCATTTGCTGATGGGGCACAACTGAAAATGAGGAGAAACAGCTGCAACCACCCATTACTAATTGGAACATGGAGTGTCTGAAATGTGAGTCTGGGAAACTTGGAAGTTGTCAAAAATGAAATGAAACACATAAAAGATTGATATCCTAGGCATCAGTGAGGTGAAATGGACAAATATTGGCCATTTTGAATCAGAGAATAATGTGGTTTGCTATGCTGCGAGCAACAAATTGAAGAGGAATGGCGTCGCATTGAACATCAAAAAGAACATTTCAAGATCTATCTTGTCTGTGATAGGATGATATCCATATGCTTACAAAGGAAGACCAATTAATAGCACTGTTATTCAAATTTACACTCAAAATACTGAAGTCAGTGATGATGAAATTGAATTCTATTAACTCCTTCAGTTTGAAATGGATTGGATAGGCAATCAAGATGTGCTGATAATTGCTGGTAATTGAGTTATAGTTGGAAAACGTGACCTTGGTGATAGAAATGATGCTGGAGATAGCATGATAGGATTAATAAATGACAGAGTAACCTCAAAGGAAAATACACACATTTGCACATCAGCATAAAAAAAGAGAAAATCAGAAAGATTTAGTAACCATTAACACAACAGAAATGAAAATGAAAAGTAAATCCACGAACAAAATGAATTCAGCATAGAAAATTATATGGAACAAAGAATCCAGCAGCACCACAAAGAAACACAAAGGAAAAAAAAAAAAATGACAGCAGTCAATTCATTTCTATAGAAAATTACATTGAATGTAAATGGGTTAAATGTACCAGTCAAGAGACAGAGAGCAGAATGGATAAGAAAACAATATTATTCAATATGCTATCTACAAGAGACAGATGAAAAAGATGGAGACAGCCTAAATGCCCACCAACAGAAGAATGGTTTAACAAACTTTAGTACATACAATGGAATACTACAAAACAATGAAGAACAATGATGAATCTGTGAAACACCTCACAACATAGTTGACTCTGGAGGACATTGTGATAAGTGAAATTAGTCAATCACAAAAGGACAAATATTGTATGAGACCAATGTTGTAAAAAGTTAATAAAATGTTTTCTTGATAAGCCATCTATAATGGGTATCGGGAGTGAGGGAAAATTATTAAGGGCTAGAGGGTAGAGGATGGAGATCATGTGAATAACAGATTTGATACATTAAACACTAAAGACAGAAGACCAGAAGAGTTGTTGGATGACATCAAGAACATCATACATGAAGAAAGCAAAAAGTCATTAAGACAAGAGAGAAGGAAAAAGTCACAATGGATGTCAGAAGAGACACTGAAACTTTCTATCCAATGGAGAGATGCTAAAGCAAATGGAACAAATGAGGAGGTCCAAGAGCTGAACAGAAAATTTCAAAGATCAGCTACAGAAGATAAAGCCAAATATTACAACAAAATATGCAGAGATCTGGAATCAGAAAACCAAAAAGGAAGAACACGCTCAGCATTTCTCTAGGTGGGGCAACTGAAGAAAAAATTCAAGCCTTGACTTTCATTATTGAAAGATTCTCTGGGCAAATTATTGAATGATGCAGAAAGCATCAAAAGAAGATGGAAGGGATACACAGAGTCACTATACCAAAAGGAAATGGTTAATGTTCAACTGTTTCAAGAGGTAGCATATGATCAAGAGCCAATGATACTCAGGGAGAAAGTCCAAGG